GGAGCCGCGGGCGGGACCGGAACGGCGGCCTCAGGCGGGGCCGCGGGCGGGACCGGAACGGCGGCCTCAGGCGGGGCCGCGGGCGGGACCGGAACGGCGGCCTCAGGCGGGGCCGCGGGCGGGACCGGAACGGCGGCCTCAGGCAGGGCCGCGGGCGGGACCGGAACGGCGGCCTCAGGCAGGGCCGCGGGCATGAGTCCAGCAGGGGGCGCCTCGGTGGGCTTGGGTGCAGGCGGAGGCGGCATCGGGACCTTAGATGCAGCTGCAGGCACCACCAGCACGTGGCCAACAGGGGGCGCCGCAGCAGGCACCACCAGCACGTGGCCATCAGGGGGCGCAAGGGGAGACAGGCAAAACCGGCGGGTCAGGTGGTGCCGCTGGCATAGCGGCAGAAGCTGCAGCAGGCGGTGCCGCGGGCAGAGCGGCGGCCGCTGCAGCAGGCAGGACAAGCAGGGCAAGCGGGTCAGGCAGGACAGGCGGAGCTGCTGGCATCGCAGCGGCATCAGCAGCAGGCGGTGCCGCGGGCAGAGCGGCGGCATCAGCAGCAGGCGGTGCCGCGGGCAGATCGACGGCGGCAGCAGGTAGCGCAGCCGCGGGCAGATCGGCGGCGGCGGCAGGCAGCGCAGCCGCGGGCAGATCGGCGGCGGCAGCAGGCAGCGCAGCCGCGGGCAGATCGGCGGCGGCAGCAAGATCCGGAACATGCAGGTCCGGAGCCGGCAGGAGGGGTGCCGAGCGCGTAGGCGCCCTCCCTTTAAGGGCTCTCGGGACCCGGGGAATAGCGTCTCTTACGGCGCGGATACCTCCGACGCCCAGACGCTCCAGTCGGTAATAATACGCCTCCAACGGCGGTGGCTTTTCCGGGTGGAGGCTGGTCAGGCGGATAGCGGCGGTGTCTTCCCAGACGGGGAGGAGAGAGCAGGCTCCCAGGTAGAGCGAGGGAGTCGCCTCCTGCTTGTCCTCTCCCCGCTCGGTGAGCCGGCGCTGTAGCCGACGGAGGCATTTCCGGGCTTTCGTCAGCGGGTAATGCTGTCCGGGCGGGCGCTCCTCTTGGAGCAGGTCCCGGCCCCGGCTAGCCAGCTCCATGGCTACCGGGTCCTCCAGGACCTCTGGCTGGGATTGCCAATACACGAAAGTTTGCAGCAGTCCGAGCCGGTGGTGCTCGGACTGCTGCTTCGTGCTTTCGCAGAGATCAGTCATTCTGTCACGCTCGCGGGTAGGGCGAGTAGGAAGCAGGCGAGCGTAGCCAGGTAGTCAGGGTAACGGGGTTTAATAGCAGGCAGACGTACAGGCACGGACATCAACGAACACTACACAATGACTGATCTGGGGATGACT